CATGTCTATCACCATGCACTAAACTAAGGTCAAAATGGATCAAAGATCTAAATATCAAAACAGAAACACTAAATCTACTGGAAGAGAAAGTAGATAGAAATCTCAAAGACATAAGGGTAGGCAGAGAGTTCATGAACAAAAACCAAACTGCACAGAAATATTTTAAAGAATCAACAACTGGGATTTCATCTTATTGAAAAGTTTCTGCACATCAAAAGAAATCACCAGCAGAGTAAAAAGAAACCCCACAAAGTGGGAAAAAAATGTTAGCCAACCGCCCTCAGACAAAGGACTTCTATCTAGAACATACAAACAATTTAAAAAATCAGGCCCCCAAAGTTCAAAGACCCAATCCAAAAATGGGCATCTGAGATGAATATGCACTTCTCAGATGAAGAAATACTAATGGCAAATAAATATATGAAAAGATGCTCAACATCATTAAGCATTCAAGAAATGCAAATTAAAACAACACTGAGATTCCATCTCACCCCAGGAAGAATAGCTATCATTAAGATATCAACCAATGACAAATGCTGGAGAGGCTGTGGGGAAAAAGGAATACTTCACTGCTGGTGGGAGTGTAGACTGGTGAAACCACTGTGGAAATCAGTATGGAGATTCCTCACAAAACTAAGATTGGAAGTCCCACTTAACCCAGCTATTCCCTTCTGGGTATTTTTCCAGAAGAATTAAAAATGTCATACCATAGCGATATATGTGCTCCCATGTTTATAACAGCACAATTTGTAATAGCTAAATCTTAGAAACAATCCAAATGCCCATCAACTGAGGAATGGATAAAAAAGATGTGGTATTTTTATACAATGGGGTATTACTCAGCTATAAAAAAAGATAAATCCGAGGCTTTTGTAGGTAAATGGATGCAACTAGAGACATACTCATAAGTGAAGTAAATCACACCCACATGTGTAAATATCATATTGTCTCCCTAGTGTAAGAATATGGAAGAGTAAATAAAACCCAAAATGTACAATAGGTAATACGAAAGAGAAAGAAATTGCTCAAAGGAAGGAACAACTGGGATGAGGGAAAGAAGATTGATAGCTAAGATAATTGCACTATGGTTTCTACTGGTTTATTGAAAGGAACAGCTGTTTCTTTGCTTAAATGTCTGATCAATTTTGCATGCCTATATCTGGTAATCCAAAGAACTACTTAGAAGATAACCATATAACAACCATTGTTAATTTCCTAACGTCTTGTTTTGAAATTCTGTATTACTTTTGTTATTGTTTATTCTCTTTAAAATAAAAAGGTAAACCCAATAGGATTACAGCAGATCTTTCAACACCAATTTTAAAGGCCAGAAGAGCTTGGAGTCTAGTGTTTCAAGCCATAAAAGAAAACAATTTTCAAGCCACAATAATATATCCTCCAAAACTATAGTACTTTTCAAACTTAATGGAGAAATAAGGACGTTCCACAGCAAAGAACATCTTAAGAAATTCATGAACACCAAGCCAGCACTCCAAAAATTACTCAAGCATATCCTAGACAAAGACACTGACGCCAACAAGGCCAAAAAACTGGATGGAATGACTGCATCATGCATGGAGAGTACTTAAAAAGGAAAAAATAAGAGTCAACAAAAGAAAAAATGCAATGATAGGAATAAGTCAACACCTTTCAGTAATAACTCTTAATGTAAATGGCCTCAACTACCCAATTGAAAAGCATAGACTAGCAGACAGGATCAAAAAACAAAACTCAGTGGTCTTCCGTGAACCAAAATGCTTATCTAACCCAAAAACAATTTCATAGTCTAAAAACCAAAGCACAAAAAGCAGTATTCCATTGACCCCCCAAAAGTAGACCTGGGTAGCTATTTTATTTTCAGACAAAGGTGACTTCAAGCTAAAACTTATCAAAAGAGTTAAAGGAGGTCATTACTTATATGAACAATCAAAAGGAAGATATAACAACTGTAAATATATATGCATGAAATACTGGTGAATCCATTTCAGAAAACAAATACTTCTGGGCTTAAAATATCAAATAAACACAGACACAGAGTAGGGGGATCTCCATACTGATTTCCATAGTGGTTATTTTAGTCTACATTCCCACAGTGTAGAAGGGGTCCTTTTTCTCTGCAGCCTTATCAGCTTTTGTTATGATTTATTTTTTAGGCGATAATCATTTTTTAAGTAAAATATAATTTCAATGTTGTTTTAATTTCCATTTCTCTAATAACCAAAGGTGTTGAATATTTTTTCATGCATTTATTGGCCATTTGAGTTTCTTCTTTTGAGTAGTGTCTATCCGTTTCAGTGGACTGTTTTATAATTGAGTCTTTCATTTTGAGGGAGGTCTAATTTTCAGAGGAAAATGAGTAACGACGATTAGCAATACTTCATTTTTGACACATATTACATATCAAAGACTTGACAAATATGTGTGATAAATGGAACAAAATCAAAGAACTTCAAGAGAAAAGAAACATTCTCTGACCTTCAAATATTGTATGCATTTGTCACATTTCTATTTTTCTAATTCTTAGCAAGTCCATGGATTGTGATAATTTGTTACAGTACCTATAGGAAACTAATATAGGCCATAGGAAAGGCTCTTGAAGTATTTGGAGGGTCAAGAGAATTAGCACTCATTTTGTGGCACACATTTTGCAGATGACTTACTCATGGACGTGAAGCAGCACATGGCTCTGCAATTTCTCTGTCTTCTCCCTCAGCTTTGCTGTCCCCTTAGCTAAGTGTACATGTGTTTAGCTCATGACAAATGATTCTGGATCCTGAAGGATACACTCATAATTGTGGCAGGAGGAAATAGAGCTCTATCATGCCCTTGTGAATTTCTACCTTTTCTTTGTGAATTCCAGCTAGATTTCAATCTCCCCATTTTACATTCATCTTCCCTTTACATGATGCATCCAAAAAGCAAGTAACATGCTTTACAACACACTGCCTGTGTTTGAAATTAATTTGTCTTGTTCTGACTGCCACAGTGGACATGAAAGAATGGAAATATAATCTCATCCAATTCACCATTCCCCCCACAAATAATCTATGTTTCCCTTAGCCCAGGGGATAAAAGCATGTCTTTTTAACAACTCAGAGTGCTATCATTTGGAATTTCCCCCAAAGGCCCATGTGTTAAGTCTTGGTTCCAAGCTTGGTGCAACTGGGAAGCGATGGAAATTTTGAGAGGTTGGACCTAGTGGAAGGTCTTCAGGTCCTGGAGCATGGCCCTAAAAGAGAATGTTGGACCCCCATCTCTTTTTCTCTTTTTCTTATCCCAGCTACTCATATAGCTTTTTATCTCAGCCATTTGTTACATCACGGAAAGTTGATGAACACAGAGACTTAACCGAGAAAATAGGGGTACAGAAGTTTCCAAAAATCAAAGATGAATCCTTTGGTCCCTTGACCCATCATGCCTTCTTTCCACAGAAGCTTCTGAAGATGCAGATCTTTGGCCATGGGATGGGATGAAGTGAGGCCAGAGGCTGAAGTTCCAGTTGGAGATTGGAATGCCTAGAAAAGTTCCCTGGTGTTCCACGAAGTTTTTGTAAGCCAAGGAACCTCCTGCCTTTGTACGGACTGTTCCTGATCTCTGTCCCTAAATGTCTCCGTGGTGCTTACAAATGAACTGCAGATCTGGCTTCCTTTCCCCATATTTCTCAACTGCTTATACCCCTAAAACCCTAAAGAATGATGAGGGAAGTGTCCTAAAATATGCCTGCACATATCTGCACTTGGATTTCCCCCTCACTTAAGAATATGTCCTCAAGCTGAAACTCAATTTGATTTAGAAAAATTTAATATCATATTCCTTAGACAAAGGAGTTACAAAGTTTAGCTAGAGTCATGTTACTCTGTGCTGTGATTTGAGTGTGTCAGTCAAAATTTCCTGTCTCTCAGTGCAGCAGTATTGGGAGGAATGACCTATTGGGGGATTTTCAGGTATGGGGACAGAGCCCTCATAAATGGATTAATGTCCTTCTGCCAAGAATGAGTTAACTGATTCTGCTCCATTTTCTCTTGCTTTTGTGTGTTCTTTCTTCTAGCTTCAACATGAGGTCCTCACCAGGTATATCTGCCCAGTGTTGGACTCCTTAACCTCCAAAACCATGAGCTTAAATAAACTTCCTTATTTTATAAATTATTCAGTCTCAGGCATTGTGCTATAGCAACATAAAATGGACTAAGAAACTATATTTTCTTATCTTGTGTCTTTTCCAAGCCTTTGATGTCCAACTTGATCCTTAAGGCTGCAGGAAAATAATAGTAAGTGTCCAATGCCCACCAGTCTAGTATAGAGACACCAATAGAGACCAACAGTGGAGGTGCAGGCCTAATGTCATGGGTCAATTAATTGACCCAGTTACTACACCCAGTTATTCTTCCCACAGGAAGCTGGTTCCTTCATTTCCAATCTTAGGATCTGTGCAGTAAAGTGTTAATTTAGGTCTCTGGATATTCAAAACCTCCTGCATATACCAAAGAAAGGATTGGTATTTGATTGCCTCGTGGGAGATGATTTCTGATTTTCTGAACAACTCAAGTGTCTGTGACTGGTCACTTCAGGCCATGCCAAAGAGTGTATGATAGCAATGTGATCTATGGCGAATCACTGTTCGTTCACATGATGCCTTTGGCCAGGCTATATCAGACTGACCTATGGGGAAACTGAAGCATCAATAATTAAGCTCACCTATGTGACCAAGGCTCAATAAAACCCTGTACACCACAACTCCAGTGAGCTTCCTGGTGGGTGGCACACTATGCACCTTGTCACACATCATTGCTGGGAGAAATAAGTGCTGACAGCGATTCCTCTGGTGGGGAGGTGCTTAAAGGAAACTCCTATGTGGTCTCTACTGGACTATGTTTGATCCGCCTTCTGTCTCTGTTGATTTTAATCTATACATTTTACTGTGATAAACCAGAAATCATGAGTATAATGGCTTGTCTGAGCTTTATGAGTCACTGCAATGAATCACTGAATGTGTTCTGGGATTCCAACCAAAAAGGTCACCAATATTGTTTTATTATGAGAAAGTTGTTTTTTATACCCTCTTCAGTTCCACCATTTCTTGAGAAAAATAACAAGAGTTGGCCTTTCTTCTTGTTGAGCCTGAAGCTTCTCCTGCCCCCAAATCCAGGAGAACTGTTTCTTCTCCTTTCTCAGTCACACCCTCCCACAAGTTCTCAGGTATACCCAAGGACAAACAGAGACCTTGAATACCTTTCACTCCTGCTCCTTTATCTCACTGCCCCCACAACAAGCCAAGCAGAGTATGGGTTCAGCCCATGGTCAGCTGGGTAGCAGACTGTCCGCAGGACCCCCCTTCTCACTAGGCAGCAGACATGGAGGGCCCTCACATGGCACTCTCATTACCACCCCGGCCCCTGGACACCCCCTTTTCTTGTGCCATGAGTGACTTGTAGGGCTTCCCCAGGCTGGGGAGGGTGAGCTCAGCTTCCTGCAGGTCCAGCTCCTGCTGGGATAAATGCTCAATAACAGCCGCTCCGATCGAGTCCCCCAGCACATTAGTCATCGTGCGAAGCCGGTCACTAGTGGAGGAGAGAGAAAAGCTGCCATTAATGGGGGACTGAGAAGCTCCACAGGGAGGAGAGCACAGCAGGGAGTGCGTCCCGATGGCAAGGAGTCCAGGCTCACATTCCAGTCCACTCCATGACTACATGGCCTCAACCCAGTCCCTCCTCCTCTTCTCTGTCCTCAGCTTCCCTCCTAAGAAACTCAGGTTGCATTAGCTTGGAGATGGATTTGTTCTTAGCATTGTGCTTCCTTTTTTAAAGATGTCTTATCTGCTACAGACAATTAGGGGTCACAAGCTGAAATGCATATAGCAAAGGAAGGTAGTCACCGAGAGCAAAGCGGCCAGGACTAGGGCAACAGAGGCATCGACCAGCACAGGCTGCAGTGTCCAAATGGGACTCGGTTCAGCTGACAAATTGCATACGGGGACAGAAGCCCAGATTTTGTTTTCATGTGAATGTACTGGGGTTTTTTTAATGAAAGAAGAAAAGAAGAAAGGAAAAGAGGGAGGATGAAGAGAGGGAGAAAAGCAGGGAGAAGGAAAGACAAAAAAGGACAGAAGGTAGGAAGGAAGGGAAGGAAGGGAGGGAGGAAGAGAAAGGGGGAAGGAGGGAACAAGGAAGGAACAAAGGAAGGAAAGGAGGGAGGGAAGGGGGGAGGGAGGGAAAGAGGGAGGAAAAAAGGGATCCCTATCCATCTGGAAATACTTTTCCTGTTTTCTTCTCATGTGACATCCTAGAACATTTTAGGCCATGAATGCATCAAAAGCAGTCCATCAAAATTATTTTATCCATCATAACAGAAAATTTGTCAATCAAAATTCATTACCTAACGTTGTAAGTGTACTGGGTTTTCTCTCAACTTATAAAATTTTTGTCTTTAAAAATAAAATATTTTTCACAAGGAAAGATTAAAACATCTATTTTTAAAAGTGGGGAATATTTTTTAAAAAGATCTGTCCCATGGTCTTCATAATTTCTACATGAAAGAGGTCAAAGAGGAGCTGCTCGGCCTCATTGGTGAAGCCGTCTTTGTCTCTTCCTCACTATTTTCCAAGGCTGATTCAATGGACTTCAGGGTCCACAGGCCATGGCCTGCAGGTTCCTCCAAGGGCCACCTTTTCTCTAAAATTCTAGAACTCTGTCCTTTGGTGGATCCTGTAGCGAGGAAGTGGTCACATGAAGACCACTCATCTCAGGTTGCATTAGCTCTGAGATATTGGATTTATTCTTAGCACTGTGATTCTATTTTTTTAAATATCTCATCTGATACAGACACCAGGGGCCAATGAACACTCACAGGAACCAGTCCACTGCTATGATCAGCGTGATGTCTTCCGTAGGCAGCCCGACCGACGTGAGCACAATGACCATAGTGACCAGACCCGCCTGGGGGATGCCAGCAGCCCCAACACTGGCCGCAGTGGCCGTGATGCTTCAGAGGAGAGAACACGAGAATTCAGGAGGGAAGACAGAGAGGAGGAAGAAGAAGGGGAAAGGGTCAGTTCCTCAAGATGCCTTAAAAATTAAGTTCTTGAGCCAACACAGGAAGAAAAATACTGCATGATCTCATTTCTATGTGGAATCTTCAAAGTCAGACTCATGAAAATAGAGAATAAAATGGTGATTGCCAGAGACAGGGAATTTGGGAAGAAATGGAGATGTTGGTTAAAGGACACAAAGGTTCAGTTATAAGATATTCCTGTACAGGATAGCTAACATAGTTGTACTACTGTCTTCTCTTCTATTGCTTTACTGAAAGTAACAGTTAATGATTACTTGTTTTGATCAACATTGCATGTCTCTATTTGTTTTCCTGAGAAACCACTTTGAAGATATCAATAGGTAATACAACAACCATTGTTAATTTCCTATCACTTTGTCTGTAACTCTGTATTGTTTGTACTGTTCTTATGCTATTTTGTAAATGGATGTCTGATAATATGTTTTCCTTCTTCTATTTTTAAAATAAATTTTTAAAAAACTAAGACTGCAGATTCTTAAAATAAATCACTTGTTCAAAAATCACAAAAAAAAGGGGCTGGGGATTTAGCTCAGCGGCAAAGTGCCTGCCTGGCAAGTGCAAGGTCGTGAGTTCGGTTCCCGGTACCGGAGAAAAACCAAAAAAAAAAAATCACAAAAAAAAGATATTCCTGTACAGCATGGTGACTACAGTTAACCATACTGTATTACATACTTGTAATTTTCAAAAAGAGTAGTTCTTAAGCATTCTATTAAAAAAAAGGAAAGGAATAAAAGTAACCATGTGAGATGATGGATATGTTAATTAGCCTAATTGTGATAATCATTTTACAATGTATCTATATATCAGATCATCACATTGTACACCTTTAAAACATACAATTTTTATTCATCAGTTATACCTCAATAAAGCTGGAGCTCAAAAGTATTGTCTACATTTGCAGTTAAAATGCATAAAAAAAAGTTACATTGCTGGCCTTGTAAGAGCCATACATGTTTTTTAAATGTATACCTGTAACTACAACAGTGCCCCTACCAGTATTTCAAAAATTTGGAATTCTGTTCATTTGTTATTTTCAACCACCTCAAGTTTAAAGGCTACTTTGTTGTATGTTTAAAGTGTATTATGACAGTGTGATAGTTAATAAAACACTATCTTCTATTTTGAAAAAAAACTTGCAAATGGGAAAAGGACCAAAGGATGGACCTAGGAGGACAGAGGGAGGGGAAGGGGATGAAAAATAAATCAAGATGTGTTATGTACACGAACCAGCTCCTCATGAGGAATGTGACTGTTATGTACCGCAAACACAGACCAGGAAAAGTAAAAATTGGGGGGAAAAAAGGTTTTAAATAGAAAAGTAGTGAAATACAACTCACAATGTTGGAGGTGCAGAGATTCTGGACCATTTTAGACCTAGGCCTGCCTGTCTCTCGATCCTATTTCTTGCTCAAATAAAATTTGTTAAATGTTTTTAAATGAATTAAAAGTAGCGATTCAGACTGGATGGACTAGATGTTAAATCCTGTGTCAATTCTGATTGCCCAGCATGGTGAGCTAAGAAGACGTCTGAAAGCCACTGAGCTTGCTGCCTGGTGGCCTCTGAAACTGCTTTCCAGATTCTACAATCATAAACATGGAGCCACAGGAAAGGCTTGCTCCAGATGATATCGCTATCAGAACAGTGATGGAGCAAATGCTTGGACCACAGACAGTGAATGGTCTTTGGAGTGCACACTGCATAAACTGGACAAACTTGGACAGAACTCAGAGCCTGCATTTCCTCATGCATAGGGTGAGAGGTACAGGCTCACCTTCTTAATGACAGACAGTGAACTATAAAAGATCACAGTGCTAACATGTAACAAGTAGTTAAGTGGTATCAGTTATTGCTATCAAAAATATAATTTTTTTAAAAAAAAGTCACCCAGTTTCTCCTCTGTTTACCCTATTTGGATTTGGATTCCTTAGGGAAAGAAAAAGAGTGCAGAGCTTTACTAATGGGGTCTTAAGGATGGAAACTACTACCATCATTCTAAGGGAAGGAGCCTTTGGACTCAAAACACTGGCCTATTGCTTCTCGGCATTTTGGCTAAGATCAAGTGTAATATCAAAACGCTGGCCTACTGTAAACAGTGATCTGCAGGTGCCCTCTGGAGGCAACCAGCTGCCTGGACAGGATGAGCTAATTCTATCTAGACCTAAAATGCCAACTTAAAATTCTTCAGATTGAATTTAGATAAGGTCCAAACTAGGAATCCCCAAGCAGCCAATCACTACCTGCTACAAATGTCTTAATTATTACCCAGCAAATCTCAAGCTGGCCCATGTCACCAAGTCTCTCCAGAGGTCCCAGAAGTTCGAAGTGATGCTCAGCCTCTTGGTCCACTTAAGAACACTCACTGAAAAGTCTCCCATCCTCTCCCTTTTTCTAAACTTCTCTACTCCCAGTGATGTCAATGCTTCCCCATGAGAAGTACTCATTATAATGTTTGGGGTTCTGACCCCCCCCCCAAAATTTCAAAGTGTTTCTTTGAAATTATCTTTATGTTATTCTTCCCTGCAGCCTCACTTACCCCTAGAAAGGGATGACTCTCCTACCTACCATATGCCCAAAGACAGCTGGCTAAGATTGGTTAAAAAGCATTTGATAAATCCATACTCTACTTCCAGCACATATTCATTGAGCATCTACTACATACTAGACAGCTTCAAAGGCTGCACAGCTTACACTGTGGTTACATCCAAATGAATTTGAAATGCACTAAATATACCTAAGCATCACAGCCTAGAAATCCAGAATATCTGTTGTTTTCCCTTATCTGAGTAGGATCTGTAGCTCAGCATCCCGAAAGAGTCTTACTGTATGTCGCTAACCTGGAAAGAGATTCAAATTCATATTTGAAGTACGGTTTCTACAAAATATGAGTGGCATTCATACCACTGTAAAGTCAAAATATCAAAAATGGCTGGGCATGGTAGCAATTACCTATAGTTCCAGCTACTCAGGAGGCTGACACAGGATGATCACTTGAACTCAGGATCTCAACACCAAACTAGGCAACATAGTGAGACTCTATCTCATTTAAAAAAAAAAAAAATTGTCACATTATTGTAAATTAGGACTGTCTGCAATACAGATTACCATAGAAGAAAACCCTTCCCTGACAAAACTTACATTCCACCAGGATAGGTAGGCGATATGCTGTATGAGTAAGTAAAATATATACTGAGGCAGATGGTGCAATATGGGGAAATGAGTCAGCCTCAGAAAGCCCCTTTGTGCCAGGTTAGACAGGGATTCCCTGAAAAGGTGACACTGGAACAAAGACCTGCAGGAGATGAAATGCTCCTTTTATTTTTCTTTAGGTTGAGTGTCCCTTCTCTGACATACTTGGGACCAGAAACATTTCATGTGTTGGGCTATTTTTCAGATTAATTCATGATAATAATATGTTACCTTGGGAATGAGCCTAAAATCTAAACAAGAAATTTATTTATGTTTCACATATATCTTATACACATAGCCTGAAGGTACTTTTTTCAATTTTTATTTTTTATTAGCACATGTTTGCAGTGCATAATGATCACATTCCTCAGGGAGAGTTGGTACATGCACATAACACATCTCAGTTCTTTCTTCACCCTTTTCCTATCCCCTCCCTTACTCCTCTCCCTCCATCTCTTGTTCCCTTTCCCTTTTGCAAAAGATCAATCTCTCTTTTTCCTACTACCCATCTTTTATTTTGCTCTTTAGTTACATTTTGAGTTTTTCTTATAAAAGAAATCATGCAATATTTAAGCTTGTGTGTCTGCTTTACTTCACTTAACATCATGGTCTCCAGGTACATCCATTTTCCTACAAATTACTCAAGTTTATTCTTCTTTATGGCAAAGTAGTACTGCAGGTAATTATAAACAATAGTTTAAATAAAATCTGTGTGTATTTAACCATCAAAGATCAAGTGTGGGATTTTTCCACTTATGTCATATCAGAGCCCAAGAAGTTCATTTTTGGAGCATTTTAGATTTCAGATTTTCAGATTAGGGATGTTCTACTTGTGATGGATAAATTGGAACCATTGTGAGATGCAGCCCAGGGGTCTATATTTACAAAAAAAATCTCAGGTTACTGTAGTGCACCAACCACTTTCAAAAACCTGGGACAAAAGGAATCTCCCAAAAAGTCAGGTGAGAAAAGAAAGGAGCAGTGCCAGATCTTACCAGTTCCTGACAATTTCACGTGGCAAAGTCTCACCTCTAGCCTGACAGACACTTCTCACCTCCCACTTACAATATCTGAATATAATGTAGATCTAGAATGTTCCTCATATGTTCAGAGATAGGGCTTTTGGAAGGTGACTGGATCATGGGAGGAGCTATACTCACCAGTGGATGAATTCATAGGTGAATGGAGGAGGTGGGGGTGGACAGAAGATATAGGTTACTAGTGGCATAACCTGGAAGGCTGGTGGTCAGGGGCCTAACTTGAAAGGCTGTACACCCTTTCTGGTTCCTCTTTTCTTTGGCTGCTTGCTGGCCGCCATGTTGTGAGCAGTTTCCTTCCGTCAGATCCTTCCACCAGGCCCTTTCTGCCTTGGATCCAGACAACTGTGGACTGAATCCTCTAAAAACTGTGAACTAAAATAAACCTCTCTTCAACTTGTAGTGCCACGTATTTTGTTTTTTTTTTTTTGTTTTGTTTTGTTTTTTGGTTTTTCTCCGGTACCAGGAACCGAACTCACGACCTTGCGCTTGCCAGGCAGGCGCTTTGCCGCTGAGCTAAATCCCCAGCCCGTGCCACGTATTTTGTCCAAGGAGTGAAGAAAGTGATTTAAAACAGCCTCTTCTTGTGTGTGTAGTACTGGTAGTGAACCTGGGGCTTTTATCATCTCTAGCCATTTTTAATTTTTTTTTGTTCTGGAGACGTGATCTCACTAAATTGCTAAACTGCCCAGGTTGAAACTTCGCAATACTCCCACCCCAGAGTCCCAGAGTGCTGAGGTTACTGGTATGCACCACTGCACTTGGCTTTAAGGTCTCTCATAATTTCCTCCCCCCAGCCAAGATGATGACCTCACACGTCTCACCCACCAGCAGGTCCCACCCCAGCCCCCTCACCTGATGGTGGTGATCTGGCCCAGGTTGAGCTCATAATTATTGACTTGAGCAATAAAGATGGCAGCCAAGGCCTCATAAAGTGCAGTGCCATCCATGTTGACAGTGGCCCCCACAGGCAGCACGAACCTGGTGATGCGTCGGTCCACACCCAGGCCCTCCTCCAGGCAGCGGAAGGTGATGGGCAGGGTCGCAGAGCTGGGGGAGAGAGCCCTGGGTGTGAGAACAGGCAGTGGAAAGGCAGAGCTGGAGCAGGAATGTGCTAAAGGTGGGGATTCTCTTGAGAACAGGGAGGGGCCAGAAGAGGACTTGAACCAGAGGTGGAGGACAGCAGTATAACAGAGGCTGATAACCTTTCATGAGGAAGAGGGTCTCATGGCGATGCAGGGAGAACTCAGAAATGGGGATTCCTTAGCTGCAGGTCTCTTGACCCATTTAAAGCCAATAAATGAAGAACAATAGTTTATGCCACTAGTCCACTCCCAGAGGTTAAGGGTCTGATGGCTTCCACACTCTAGGGTTAAGACAAGGGTATTATGGAAGACCTCTATGCCCCACTCTCCATGTTCACATAGGAAGCAACCTAAACTCAGTTTCTCCCCAACCACCTCCTAGAGAAGGAAGAAAGACTTCACTGATCAGTGAGATTACTGAAAGGAATATGCATCTCAGCGGCAGTCAGCTTGTCCGCAGACATGCGCTCTGCCTCATCAGCTTTACGGCATACAGTAAGAAGCCTGCACTCACAGGGAGGACCTTCAGGTATCCAGCTCCCGTAGTGACCTCATAAGTTTAATCTGGGGCACAGTGGTGCCAATCTATTTGGGCATGCACCAAAAAGCACATTCACCATCACCATTGTGGGCAGTAAAAAATGGTATTTTTCTTCCATCTGTTTGGCTCTTGGGATCCTTTTACAAATTTCTCTGAATCTGGATGATCAGAGTTTGAAAGGAGCTCCTTATTAACCTTTTGAAGGACATAAAAACAGGAGAAGGAAGCCAAGAGAGTCCCAAGACTCCATCTCAAGGGACAATAAGACCCTTTGGAGCTAGAAAATTACGGAGCTCACAGAAGTTTCATCTTAAACTCAGAATGGACACCTACCTGGCTCTCTTTCATATAAAATGGAGAAACCAGAAAGGGTAAAAGGGGACGGGGACATAAGCCACCTGCCTATCTCTGAGTCCCATCATTACTATACACCCAGAAGGGATGTCTGTGGCAGGGGAGGACAGGACCCCCAGAAGAGCCCACGAAGGATAAGGAAGGGAGCCAGGGAGATGGGAGAACAAGGCCATACCTGGAAGATGTGCCCATGGCAGTGATGAGTGCCTGCAGCAAGCCCCCGATGAAGGGGAAGGGGTTCCGATGCGTGATGAGAAAGTAGATGAGGGGCAAGACACCCCCAGCATGGAGGAACAAGCCCACAATGACAGTCAGTGTGTACATCCCCAGCTGACCCCCAAGAACAGCCATGTCTTCCATTTCCAGAATCTTCCCAGCAATCAGGAACAGGATACCTACAGGCGCATACCTGGGCAAGTCACACATCTGTTAGATGATATATCCCCCACTTTTTTTTTTTTTTTTCAGAACTGGTGATTGAACACAGGGTTTATCACACTGAGCTACAACCCCACCCTTTTGATCTTTTGATTTTGAGACAAGGTCTCACTAAGTTGCCCATGTTGGGTTTAAACTTGCAATCCTCCTGCTTCAGCCTCCCAAGTAGCTGGAATTACAGGCATGCATCACTGCACTTGGCTTAGGATCCCTTCCAGCCTCCCCTATAGGTCTAAAGCTAGAATTTCAAGGCTGTTCCCATATACAGGCCTGGACCTAGGCAGTGCCTACCACACTGCACCCTACTCCACACCATTTCCCATACATTTACCATCCCATTTCCACAAGTACATCTCACTTCCTCCTCCTTCTCACTCACAGCTCACCCCAATACCAGAAACAGGCCTACATGCCAGGGCATACAACCTTACGAAGTCTTCATCCCAGCCCCCATTCAAACCCCTCCAATGTCAAATAATCATAATCCTCAAGACCTCTTTCCTAGACCCTACTGAGACACCTCTTCTCTTTGGCCTTATACACTTCCATTATTTGCTGCCCCCAACTCTGTTGTCATTTGTAACCCTTATGCCCCTATTATCTTTCTTGTCAGCAGATATTCTCACTCATCCACCAGCCAGAGCCATTTCACCATATTTCCCACATCTCAAAACAACTTTCCTATCAAAATCATCTATTTTTCCTCATTTATTCACAAGTATCCATTGGGTATCTACTATGTTCCAGGTACACACTCCCTGTCCCCATTTTGCCTACAATGGGCTGAGTCAGTGTGTCCTCCAAAACAGTCATACATAGAGATGCTGATCCCCAACATGGATGTGGAGATTTTAAGAGGACACAAAGAAAGAACCGTCATGAGTGTGATTTGTGCTTTTATAAGAAAAACGCATGAGAAGGCCTTCCCTCCTTCCACCATGTGAGGACATAGTGAAAAGATGCCTTGCATGCACCAAAACAGCAAATCTATGGGTGCCTTGATCTTGAACTGTCCACCCTCCAGACTCGGAGAAATTATCTTTATTACAACAGCCCAGATGATCTAAGACACAGGGAAGTGCACATAGAAATGTATACAGCAGTCCCCTCTAATCCATGAAGGATACATTCCAAGACATTCCTCAGATGCCTAAAACCATGAATAGTACCATGTTTTCTCTATACATATACACCTATGATAATGTTTATTTTTGGGGGGGAAAAGGTAATAGTAATTTATTTATTTATTAGCAGTACATGTTAGCAGTACATAATGTTTACATTCCTTATGAGGAACCACACATCTTAATTCCTTTTTTCACCACTTTTCCTTCCCCCTCCCTCCCTCCACCTTTTGTGCCCCTTCCCATTTGTGAAAGATCTATCTTGATTCTGCCTATTCTCTATTTTTTATTTTGCTCTTTATTTATGATTTGAGTTTAATTTATAAAATAGGCACAGTTAAAAGTTAAATAAAGAGCAAAATAAAATATGATAGAAAATGAGGAGACAGATCTTTTGTAGAACAGAAGAGGACCAACAGATGGAGGGAGGGGAGGCAAAAGGGAAATAAAAACAATTAAGATGTTTTGTGTACGTGTACCCACGCCCCATGATCAATGTAATCATAATGTATTACTGTTCCCAAGCTGGGCTCGGGGTGCACTTTGGTGTGTGGTTGCAAAATTATCTCCAAATCATTATGTCTAGATCTATCTCTATGCTATATAATCCCCTTCTCAACTGCCTTGCCTCCTCCTCCTGCTTCATCCTATGCAAATACTCAGCCACTTGGCATGTCTTCATGTTTCACCCAACCAGGCCAATCACCCTGCTATATATCCCTGGTTCTCAATTTGATTGAGCCTTCAATACTCCCTATTAATCCTCTAGGTCACTTTGATGCGCTCACCCTTCCACCATTTTGATCTAAAGTTCCCTAAACAATTATGAATCCAGTAAATTTGAAATTATTTGGGATGGTGCTCTGGTTTGGATAGGATTTGACGTGTCTCTCAAGGGTTGCTAAAGGTTCGTGTATTGGGATTTTTGTCTCCACTGTGGCAAAATTAAGAACCAGTGCTACCTTTAAGAGGTGGAGCCTGGTGGGCGGTCCTTCCTAGCCCCTTCCTTCAATCTGGCTCCTGCTTTGCCTTGTGATCTCCCCTCTTGCATGAACTCCCATCATTATGATGGTATTTGCCAGTGAATAAATCACTGCAAAACAAGGAGGCCTTCACCAGGGATGAGCTGCTCCAGCCCCCTTTGCTGACAGGCTGCTCCTCTCTGACTCTGCAGTTAGAGTCCACACGCCTTCCAAGGCCCAGCTAAGAGTCAACCTTCTCCATGACTCCCTCCTCATTTCCCAAGTAGCATTCACTGCATATCCCTCCATTCACTGCTCACTTCTGCACACTCCCAGCACTTAATGTCCCTTTACTCCAAAACCTACCACTTGGTATGATATTTGTTTAGTATGCATTCACCTCCTCCCAGACTATGCAAGCTCCTTAAAGACAAAGAATGAATGCAAGGTATCTCTGTTTGTCAGAGTTCAATACAAAGTCACCCTGGGAAAATGCCTGATGGATGAAGGACGTGCATAGTGAAGGAGTGACAGAAATTAGAAAGAATGAATGAATGAGCAAATGAATGAATGAATTAATCCATTAAGGAAGTGAGAAATAAATGAGGGAGAAAAGACAAAATGAGACATGAGTGAATGGACAAATGAATGAAAGGATTATTTGGGAGGAAATGAGAGAATAATAAATGCATAGATGAATGAACAGGTCTAGGAAAGAATACAAATAAATATCTGACTTAAGTGATTAAGTAAACAAATAACTCCACAACGTAACTAATTCATGGACAAATTTATGAATGGATGCAGAAGTGAATTAACTGATGCATAAAAGAATAAACAAATAAGAAAATACGAGTGAATCAGTGCCTAGGTGAATAAAAATAAATGAGTGAATGAAGCTCAGTTAACCTAAATGAGGGTGTGGATGATGAATAAATCATTGCAAAGATAAACTTATCACAGAAAGATGTAGGTAAATGAATGAACGAGTTAGTAGTGTATTAACCAATACTTGAAGGAATGAAAGAATGAATGAGAAAAATGAGTGAACCAATACATGGAAGAATGAACATGGACGAGAAAGTGGATGAACAATTTAGTCAGTGCACAGAAAAATAAGTGAATAACAGATGAGTGAGGGCGTGACCAAGTAAATTAACCATTGCTGAAAATGTGTAGATTAATGAATAGGCTAGTAATGAATTAGCCAATTCATGGATGAAAGACTTTGGCCAATGTCTCCCTGTGGTCCTTTCAGCAGCTTCCACACAGCCAGCCTGGTCCCAGCTCTGGCTCCTCCTTTCCCATAGTCACTGCTGCCCACCCAGGCCCAGCTCTGCACTCACCATATAATGATGCCCACTAGCCTCATAATGGCCTCATTGAGGCTGTCAAAGAAGTCCCTCAGGACTCGGCCCTTGTGTTTCATGCCCCCGATGACCAGTCCAAAGGCCACAGAGAAGACCACGAGGCCCAGGGCATTGATGCCATTGGCAGATCCAGGCACGGGAACAGTCTCTTCAAAGCTCAGCACCTCCTGCAGGGTGCCCAAGGCCCGAGTGACATTTTCCAGGATGCTGGTTTCATTGTCTATTGATGAGGGAGGAGGCATGGAGGCACCCAGCTCAGACCCATTCTCCATCCTCACGATGGTCCTGGTCACAACCCTCGTGCTGTACTGTGTCTTGAACTGAAATACAGAAATATTAGACCCAAACTCAGCTCAGTGGCTCCATGAGAATCACTTGAAGGAATTCCTGAGAACACCGATTCCTGGTGCCCACACCATGGAAAGTCTTACTTAGCAGGTCTGAATGAATGAATGAATGATTCATTCAAATAACTGGACCAATACACAGAAGGAATGAATAAAATATTACAGACATTATGGAATACAGTGTTGAGGTTCCTCAGAAAGTCAGAAATAGAACTACCATGTGATCCAGCAATCCCACTGCTGGGTATGTATCCAAAGGATGTGAAATCAATATCTTGAAGAGATACAGATTGAGCATCCCTTATCCAAAAATCCAAAATGCTCCAAAATCTGAAACTTTTTAACCAACAATGTAATGAAAATTCCAAACTGACCTCATGTGACAGGACACAGTCAAAACACAGGTGCACTAAAAATATTGTATAAAACTGCTTTCATATTAAGTTTCTAAGGCATATATGAAACAAATGAATTTCATGTTTAGACTTGGTCCTATCCCCCAGTGTATTTCATGAAATAAATGCAAACATTCCAAACTTTTTTTTTGTAAGTTTCTAAATCTGAAACACTGCTGGTCCCAAACATTTAAAATAAGAAATACTCAACTTGTATCTGCTTTCCTACATCTGCTGCAATGCTATTCACAATAGTCAAGAAATGAAATTAATGTAAGTGTCCATTGATGGGTATACAATGACTATGACTTATATATACAAGATAGAATACTATTCAGCCTATAAAAAGAAGGAAATCTTGTTATTTGCAACAACATGGGTGACCCTAGAGAACACTGTAGTTAGTGAAATATGCCAGACATAAAAAGTCAAATACCACTTACATGTGAAATCTAAAAATGTTGGTGTCATAGAAGCAAACTATAAAATGAAGGTCACCAAAGGCTGAGATGGGGCCCAGGGAGGATTGGAAGATGTTGGTCCAAGAATATGGAACTCCAGTTAAACAGGAGTCAAAGGTTTAAGAGATCTGTTATACACCATATGACTATCCTTAATAACAATATACTGTGTACTTGAAAATCACTGACAGACTTTTCAAGTGCTCCTAAAACACTTTAAAAAGATTAAGTTCACAAAATAATATATATGTTAATTACCTTGACTTAGCCATCCCACAAGGTATACAGATTTCAAAGCATCATGTTGGAGCCTATAAATATATACTGTAGGCCTTCCCTATCCATGGGTTCTGCATTCATGGATTTAACCAACCATGGATCAAAAATATTGGGTCAAAAATTCCTTTCTGTATTTAGCATGTACAGACCTTTTTATTGTCACTATTCCCTAATAAGAGAGTATAACTATCTTCATAATATCTGCATTGATCAGGTGTTCTAAATCATCTAAGGATGATTTAAAGTACACAGTATAAGATGTGTAGGTTTTGTGCAAATACTCTGCTGTTTTATATAAGGGTTTTGAGCAGCTACCAATTTTGGAGTCTGCAGGGGACAGTGAAATCAGGCCCCTGCCAATACCACAGGATGAAATGAGTGGATCCATAGATGAATGAGAAAGTGAACAACCAATGAACAGAACAATGAATATAGAGTCTGCATTTTTTTCGAGCTGCCTTGGCAATGCTCAGCCAGACTGTGGGGCCTCTGTCTTCACCATCCAGGTTATACGTCCTGGAATCTTGACCCGACCCTATGCTTCCTATAGTCCCATGCCCAGGCAACACATGGCCTAAGTCATTCTCTCTCACCCTCCTTTGATTCGCAGACTCATGAGATATATATTCACTCCCCCCAGACTCCTCCAAAGGTCCCTGCCCACCCTTCTCTCAGGCCCTCCAACCCGCCCTGAGCCTTAGGCCACCCAATCAGCAGCAAGCCTCCCACTCTCCAAACCTTGTCAAACTGTATACTTCACCCTGACCTGTTTGAAGCAGGCCTCCACAAGGTTGGGTGGAAACATATTTCTGCAGAGAAATATCAAAGAAAGGGGTATGGTTAGACCTTGAAAGAGAACCTGGGGTGATCACTGTAAAAAAGTATCAACAATAATAATCGCAGTCGAGATATGATTGCTTAGTCTAGGTCAGACTAAACTCAGCAGAGTTTAAATCACCTGATTGAAGCACTACAATCACCCTAGAAGGGAGTGCCATAACACCCTTATGTTACACAAGAAACCAAAGTGTAGAGAATGTACATGAGCTATCCAGAGCCACGCACCTACTAAAAGGTGCAGAAGGATCTTGAAATGTTTTATGCATGGTTTGTCTCCTCCAAAACTCATGTTGAAATTTGATTGTGGATTGTGGTGGTGGTGGGAGGTAAAGCCTTGAAAAGGTGATTAAGTCACAAAAGTTCTCACCTCACAAGTGGATTAATCCATTCATGGATAATGAATTTATGGGCTAATGGGGAGTGGCTTTTTACCAAAGCAAACTCCCTCTGGTACCCTTTCTCTGTCTTGCCACTAAGATGCCCTCCACCATGTTATGAGGCCCTCACAAGATGCCAATGTATACGCTCAGCTTTCTCGGCCTCCAGAAGCACAAGCTGAACAAATCTATTCTTTACAGCTCACTCAAGTCTCAGGTATTCTGCTAAAACAGAAAATATACTAAGACAGACCTACAATCCAGGTCTATCTAAGCCCTTCCAGACTTCATGTCACCACAAGACCTCCCTTCAAACACACATGCCAATGACACCTCAAAAAAATCACAATTCCTAAATTCTTCCATGTTTGCCCATGTCAGTGACTACAGTAGCAATACGATTATTGTCTTCATTCTGGATGGCAAAATCTGCTGCACTAAATGATTCAGCACCCTCCAAAGGAGCTGGGTAACACCAGGAAAAGAGCAACTGTTCAGACCCCAAGATGCTACAGCTAGAGCCTCCCCAGTTTAAGGGTGCAAAGATTATATGCTAGGGGGCTAGGGATTTAGCTCAGCGGCACAGCACCTGCCTGGCAAGCTACAAGGTTGTGAGTTCAATTCGCAGTACGGGAAAAAAAAAACAAAAAAAAAAGATTATATGCTAGGTGAAGCTCTCTTGGAGAACATATGCAAGGCTGCAGGATAAAAAGTGGGTAGCAAAATGAGAATTTAGTGACACTTCCATTTCCTGACTAGGTCTACTTGTCCCTTCTGCCTATTCTTAAATGAGTTGTTGCATGAACATCTGGAAATCCCATCAAAATAAGAAAGAACAGCACCTGACCAGGTCCATGAAGGCGTCAGCTGTGGGGATGGTCTCAATTCGGCCCTCGCGGTGCAGCCCCTCCTTGGAGCCCTTCCCAGGATGGATGATGGTGACCATGAGAATGCCGATGAAGACCGCAATGACCGTGGTCACCATGTAGTACACCGCTGCCCGCATCCCCATCCGCCCTGTCGCCTTGTTGTCCAGGGATGCCATACCTGAAGGACAGATAATGCAGCCCCCCAACAGGCCCATCCAGACCCCACCACCCACTCTCCCGTCCATCCACTCCATCAGCTCAACTACCACTTCACCAAGCAGTCCCTCCTCCTACACCCCACCTCATAACCCACCCAGAACATTTTCACTCACGCCATCAATCCATCCCCTATTTTCCTTATATATCATCACATCCCTTGCTATTCTTTATCCCAAACACAACTCCACTGGAAGTTATTACTTTCTCTCTACTCCATGCCAACCTTATCAGCTCTCACCCACGCTCTATTGACCCCTATGTTACACTAGTACCTCATGTTCATTCCACTCTTCATTGTACTGTTCATCTCCACGAAATCTCCCTCTAACCCACTTCATTGTGCCCTCTCTAAATAGATATGTTGGTGCTCCACCCCGACATCCTTGGCAATCCAATGCACCTGTCCTTCAGCTGAGTGTTGGCTGCTAGCAGTTCAGGATGGCCTCTCCTCCTGAGAACCGCCTCAGCAGAATGGGAGGTGATTCACCCAGAAAGGCCTCAAGGGCAGACTACAACCAATGATTGACTGGTACAGAGATGCAAAAGGTCAGTTCCTTTGACTCAGGTAGGGCAGGGGGCATTTCCATGGTACTATTCACACTCCACAGTTCCCCATGTGATCAGGCTGAGAGACAAACCTTCTTCCAAACACGTCTTTGTTTAGAATCCTTTCCCATAGAATCCTGTTTCCCTCACTTCCTTATGGGTTTCTCACTCATAAATTATTTGTTCAAATGTCCTCATCTCAGGTTCTACTTGTAGGAAACACAACCTAAGAAAACACTTGTTCATTCATGCCTTGATTTTCATGTATGTTCCCAAAGCCAGGGATTGGCAAACTACCACCCAGTGGCCAAATCAGGCCCACTACTTGTTTTTGTAAATAAGGTTTTATTGGAACACCTGCACGATCTATATTGCCTATGTTTTTGTGCAGCAACAGCTAACTTGAATCATTGCAATAGGGACCAAATGGCCTCAGAAGCTGAACATATTGGCTGACTAGCCCAGGAGAGAAAGAGTTTTAATACCCTGAATAATCCATCTACCTTCCCATCCCACCCCGTCCCATCCTCCATCCTGACACCTCCACCTCACTCACCTTCTACACCCTCATCCATATCTCATGCCCGTCCACCCCATCCGGATAGCTTCTCTGGCTGCTCCTCCCTCTATAGCCTTTCCTTCAAGCCCTCTGAATAATATGGAGCCATGTACATGCTGCCATTTTGCTTTCAATCAAAAGTACAAGATCATGCACTAATATAAATGGTGTGGGCCTTTTAGGGGCTAGAACCTGAGCCTGATTGGGACTAGTTTTAACCAAGGATCACAGGCTAAGTGCAGGCTCCATGTCCAAGATGCTGAGTTGGGAAAATTATCCCATACTTAGGATAGCCTTGGTTTTCTGCTCAAACTTGGGCTCTGAATGGGTCTTGGAGGCCAACACTGGCCTGGGCTCTCTCACCTGTGACCAGGCTGGAGACAATGAGGGGCAGCACCAGCATCTGCAACATCCTCATGAGAAGCTCACCAGGAAAAGAGAAGTACTTGATCTGCCGGTAGGTAAGCTGGTATGGGCGCAAGGCAAAGGCCAGGCTGACACCTAGAGCCAGAAAGAGGGGTCTGTGGAGTGGAGCATGGGTCACTCAGCCCCAGGCAGGATCCATGCATCCCAAGAAGGATGGGTGTACTGTACAGTTAAGAGAAAGAAACATTCTGAGTGTGTATCTGTGTGTGCATTGTGCGTGTGTACAAGGCAGAAATGTAAGAATTCATGTCACCATATGATATGTGTGCAAACATACATACATCTGCACCCATTCATGCACAGGTGTGCATGTATACATGACAGTGTATGTTCAACTGTGAGCACATGCATGCTTGTGTATGTGAGCCCATACACACGAACATGCACGTGCATTTTCCAGGCTGTGCATTGTGTATGTTTTCAAACATGGATTGCATGTGTATTTAAGATCATAAATGTGTGGATACATGCTCAGAAGAACCCATGCCTTGTTTACATGAACTCTGACTTGACTTCACAAGTTCTAGCACAACTGGCCCTTCATATCCTCAGGTTCTACACTGTGGAATCAACCAACTACAGATGGAAAATGCTGGGGAAAACTTGCATATTATGGAACTTACATGCTCTTTGCCTTTATTCACTAAACAATACAACATAATAACTATGTGCACAGTGGTCATTGTAGCAGGTATTGTAAGTCATCTGGAAATGATTTCAAGTATAGAGGAGTATGACCTAGGCTAGTTCATTTAAGGGACTTAAGAATTCATGGACTTTGTTGTGGGTTTTTTGGGGGTACCACGATTCGAACTCAGGACCTTGCGCTTGCTAGGCAGGCACGTATGCCACTGAGCTATATCCCCAGCCCTCCATGGATTTTGGTATCCATGAAGATCCTGAAACCAGTCTCCTTCTGAGGATATCAACGAACGTCTGCATATTTATGCAAGTGTGCACAAGAGTTTGAGTTTGCACCTGTAAATCCTGTGCACGGAAGAAATTGCTTCTGCTTGTGTGTGCATATGTAAACTGTGTCTGTACAAGCGTGTGGACATGGATCATGTGACACTGTGTGCACACGCACAGCAGTGTTTGCACAGGTGTGTCCTCAAAGGGGACTAGGAGAGCAGCAAGTGCAAGGTATCCACAAGTGAGAACGAAGGGGTGGAGCAAAGAGAGGTTCCCGGAAGTGCCTCCCTCCCTTGGGCAGGCAAAGCTCACCGATGACCACAGCGCTGACGGTAAGCAGGATGAAGGCATTGCGGCGCAGGAAGCGCAGCACCCGCTCTCGGGTCAGCGTCTGCAGGCGCAGGCGCGTGCGCAGCGCCCTCTGCTGCAGACTGTCTCGCAGCCGCTGCAGCCAGCCCGCCCGGCCCAGGCGGTGGCCGCTCTCCCGCAGGAACAGGCTGTTGCCGTGGCTGCTCATCGTCTATCTGCGGGGGACAGAGGAGCCCGGGTCTGGTGAGGGAGGGCACCGAAGCCAAGACGTGCGCAAACAGACAGGGTAGGGTGGTGGGCCCCGCAGGAACCTTGGAAAGCAGGGGAGGGGCAATGCCTGTAGGGCTGGGATGCCTGGGAACCTAGGGTTCCAGGTCACGTCCTGGCAACTAAGGTTAAGGTCTCCAGAATTATTCCCGGGCTTGGCTGGGAAGCAGCAGGGCAGAAAACCACAAAATAACAGAAGCTGTTGCCATTTCCTGCTTCCAGACCCCTCGTTATTTTACTAAGATCACCCAGCCCTCACACCAAACTAACAAGCCTTTCCTAAAAGCCAGACACAGAGCCCTAGACAAAGCACCTGGGACTGGTCCCCTAAATTAGCACAGTTTGGTGTCGCCCCTACCCGCCTCCTTTGACCTCCCACAAGGACAACATCACCAGGCAAACAGTAGGTGCCCAATAAATGTAACTGCTCAGCGTGCTCCAGGGGAGCAATAGAAAGAGGGGAGTTCTTGGAAAAGACAGGGTGACCATTCTTGGCCCCTGCGTAACTGATATTAAGGAGTTTCCCTGGGGTGTCAGCAACGATACGAGGTTATTTCCCAAAATTCACTTTTGTGTCTCCTCTTTACATCTGACTTTCTGTGCAACCTTATTTTTTTTTTTTTTAAGTATCGAAAATGGAAACCTTAGATCACAACTTGCAGTGTTATATTTTTCATTTCTTCCTTTTTTTTCTTTCTTTTGCCGTACTGGGGATTGAACCCTGTGCCTTCACACTGAGCTATATCATCAGCTCTTTTTTTTTTTTTTTTAGACAGGGTCTTGCTAAGTTGCCCAGGCTGGACTCAATTTGCAAAACCGTTGCTTCGTCCTCTAGAGTACTGACAATACATCCACACAGCAACATGTCCAGAGCTTATTTTTTTTTCATAAATATTAAATGAAATGCTCATAAAAATAAAAATCTGCCCGTCTGTCTCTCATCCAAGCAGCTCACATGTATCGAGGAAGAAGCTTAGAAATTGTGACTTCCCTGAACCTGAGAAACTTTTCCCTTCCTGGATCCCTTCCTCCATTAAAAATTTTAAAAGTATATTAAAATTACACCTTATAACTGCACTGGTATAAAGATAAATATATACAGTCTCGACTTACAATGTTTTGACTTTACAGTGGTACAAAAAGTGATACACATTTGGTAGAAACAGTACTTTGAATTTTGAATCTTGATCTTTCCCTAGGCTAATTATAACCCATACAATACTTTCTGATGACTTTTTTTGGGGTACTGGGAATCAAACTCACGACCTTGCCCTTGCCAGGCAGGCGCTGTGCTGCTGAGCTATATCCCCAGCCCTTGCTGGTGGCATGTGGTGTGGGCAGCAAGCCACAGCCCCCAGTCTGCCCCTCTGTCATTAGGAGAAACACTGACCCTCCACCGTGATTGTGTTGCTAAACTGTGGTGTTTGGAGGCAGTTTCAATACTTTTGGATTTTTTCACCGCAGGGAATGGAATCCAGAGCCTTGCATGTTCTAAGCAAGCGTGCAGATGCTTACCACTGAGCTACACCCACACACCCACCACACACCCCTGTCCACTCTTCAGTGCATTTTGACTTAAAAATTTTCATCTTATTTTAGAACTACGCAGAGGTAATGACTGCATAACACTGAGGAAATATTAAATGCCACTGAATGCTATTTTCTAATGTTTGATTTTATGTTATGTAAATTTTGCTTCAGTTTAAAGAATGGATCTATTGATAGCACATTTTAACACATTTTCTTTGACCTAAAAATGTAACAGTTTTTCCTGATTTTTAAAAGAAATTAAAATGCTTCCTTTGGTCTCTGAAATTGTCTTGAGCTTTAGACACTGGGCCTTCCTTCCTGGGAGGAGAAGCAAGTTTAGCATGGGTGGATCTCCTAGCATCCCCGTGCCTAGCATACTGGAATTCTGTTCACCCTTCTGTTCACCCTGACTCTCAGCCTCCATCTCTCATTGGCATCTCCTTCAGTCTGGCCAGTGAAGAATGGTGACCAGAAAACAGGTCCCTGCAGCTCTGTTCCTCTGCCTTTAGCCACACCTCCCATGGGGCAGTCTACCACTACAGCCAGGACTCTCCCTGAGTCCTTCCCCTGCCTTTTCAACCCAGAAATGGTACCATCTCCTCCAAATGCTGGTCTCAAGTGCACACCAATTTTGTTGACTTCTTTTGAAGTTCATATCTTTGTAAGGTCATGGTGTAAGTCTGTAATACTAGCACTCTAGGAGGCTGAGGCAAGAGGACTGCAAATCTGAGCCCAGCCTGGGCAAATTAGTCACTTAGCAAGATGGTGTCTCAAAATTAAAAATTAAAAGGAGGGAGGGGTGTGCTTGTAGCTCAGTACAAAGGCCCTGCATTCAATCTCCAGTGTAGAAAGAAGGAAAAAAGAAAGAACTCCTTATCCTAAATTCTTAACTAAGATCCTAACTAGACAGGTACACTCTAGAGCCTGAAGTTTCGTCTCTTTCCTTTCTCTTCCTTACAAGATATAGTATGGTATAGTTTGTCCCCCGTGTCTGTCATTCTGTATCCCTGGAATCAACCAATCTCAGATCAAAAATATTCAAGGTAGAGTGTAGGCTTAGTATGCACAAGCCCCTGGGTTCAATTTCTAACACCAAAAAAAAAAAAAAAAAATTGCATCTATACTAAGCACGAGCATGTACAGATATTTTTTCTCCTTATTCCCTCACCAATATGGCATAACAGCTATGCAAATAACACTTACATCATATTAGGTGTTACAGTAATCTAGGCAGGATTTAAAGTATACAGGAGGATGCACATGTATCTTATGCAAATATTGTCACTTTATATAAGGGACTTTAGGATCTAAGGGTTTTGGTATCCCTGGAGATTCTTGGAGCCAATCTCTGCACATACCTAAGGACAACTGCATAGAACAGGAGTTGACAAAGTATAGTTTGCAGGTCAAATCTAGCCCAATCCCTTGCTTTGCAAGTAAAGTTTTATTAGCACACAACCATGTCTTTCCATTGTGTATTATCTATAACTACTTTCAATCTACACAGGCTGAGCTGAGTTCTTGGAGCGTAGATTGTGTGACTAAGAATCACTAAGAAGCTGAAAATATTTACTGTCTAGCCCTTTTAAAAAAAATGCTGACCACCACCCCCACGAGCCTAGAGAAAGGCATACATGAGCTCTTACTCTCAAATACCTCCTCCAGCTTTCTGGAACTGGCCTAGGACTGCCTCATGGCTTACCTGGCCCCATATACCTGATTCTTAGAACCCCCTGGTAGCCACAAAACAGCTACCAAATGTGACAAATAAGTGCAGAAACTCATCAGACACAAAATCAAGGACAGAGAACAATGCTGCAGTGGGAGACTCTCTTATCAGCTTTTCTCAGTCCTGTCTGCACCACTCTAAATATATACAGTTGTGATCTGTCAATCAAAAATAATGCTCATCTTTTTATTTTTAATCGACACACAATAATTGTACATATTTGTGTGGTACAATGTGATCACTGAAGACAGGAATACAGTGAGTAATGAGCAAATTAGGGTATTTAGCATTTCCATCTCTTTATGCACTTATCATTTCCTTGGGAACCTTTTAACCTCTCTTTTAGTTCTTTATAAAACATATACTTAAATTGTAAATTATAATTACCCTTAGACCTCCTACCCAACTATTTTGCTCTCATTGTCTGGCTCCCCTTTATCCTCTTTCCCACTTGCTATTGACTGCTATTCTACTCTCACCTTCTAGGAGATCAGTTTTGTTAGCTTGCGTGTATGAGCGAGAATAGCCAGCATTTGCCTTCCTATACCTAAAGTATAAAAATAATTTTTGTCCTGGAGACTGAATCCAGGACCTTCACACTGAGCTACTTGCTCAGCTCTTTTTTATTTTTTATTTTGAGACAAGGTCTCACTAAGTCAACAGGTTCCCCGTGAGTGGTCTTGAACTTGTGATCCTCCTGCTTCAGCCTCCCAGAGTGCTAGGATTGCAGCTGTATGCCATTACACCTCGCTAAAATAATATTAATTTTTAAAAACACTTGATTCCCTACAATTTTGTCAGGACCTTAACATCCACTTGGGCCTTCCTGGGTCTCTATTCACCTCTCAGGGGATTCTTTCTTGGCCCGGGCTCTGTTATTTCTAGTCTGTTCTGATTCAAGATCTTCTCTTGAACCTTTTGGGCTTTCTTGCTCAAGAAATGACCCTTCTGGCATCCCTAGTTTCTGTACAGTGAGGGGCTCAAGGGTGGTCTCCCTCCTCATTCTCCTGACCTCAGGACTCAGATGTCATGACACATTCCAGCCACTCTTGGAGCAAAAAGGAAGAAAGGAAGGGCCTCCTGACTCCTAAAGCTGAGCAAGTGTTAAAACTCTTGACACGAAGAGGTCTCTGCAGATAACAGGGTAACTGAGTTGTGTAGATGCAGCCAGAACATAAAGGACTGGTGCTGGGACAGATTTCCTAAGCCACCAACAGCATGGCCACATGAGAGCTGGGGAAATGTTCACCAGCCATAAAGGGACAAGGATGATTTATATAATAAAATGTGAAGGGAAAGAAAGATAAATGTTGATACTGGTTATAGATAAGGACAGGACAGAGTGAAGCATGCAAAGTCCTGGAATGGGAGGTACAAGTATAAAAAGATGTTTTTGCTGCTTCTTGGCTGGTTGGCCCCACGGTGGTCATTCTGGTGATCTTCAGCACACAGGACTGGAATGTGGAGCAGTTTATCTTTTCTTCCCTTCTTTTCTTGTTGATTTAGCTTGAAGCTGTGAGTTAAAAGTGCCTTCTCTTATCTTTCCTCCCTCCACTTAATGACCTCTCACTTAACTTAGCACTCCTCAGATTCTTCCATCACAAGCTCAGTGGGTACAGCAAGAATGCAATGCGTTCTGTACATTTTATCCCAGTGCTGTGCCAGCCGGAGGAGTGTGTGAGGAGAGGGAAAGATAGAGTGGAAATCATGTACATCGCACACACAGACTTGTGCGCACAACTCCACACGCCTGCTGTGTGCAACCAACATACAGCCCCACATAGTCACACACACTCTTCAAATGCACTATCCGCCCACACCTTCAAAAGTACAGCTCCGTGCGTGCAACACTAGTCATACAGATCCCACACACAGACACACACTGCCACATTTATGCACACCATCAGACACAACCACACACACACTTTCGTGCCCTGCACAACTACCCGTTACACGTTAAACTCCATACAATGATTTTCATAGTCCTCTCTCTCTCTCTCTCTCACACACACACACACACATACACACAATTTAGAACATAAAACACAAAATATCAGACATTCAAATTCACACTGACAGACACTGAGCCACACACAGGCAGCTCTTCCAGAGGGCAACTCCACACATAAATTCAGTCTCACTTGCACGCACACACACCCATTCACTCCTAAACCTCCTTTCCAGCTGTGGGCAAAATCTCACCCACAGCAGATGCGCCAGGAGTTGATGGGCTGAACCCCGACAGGAGAGGAAGCCCTTAGAACAGAGGCAGCCCCAGGCTTGGGGAAGGGCGGAGGGATTCAAGCTCCAGAGCTGAGGCCCGCGGCTGAGGAGGTGGGGAGATGGGCGGGAGACCCTGCGTAACCAAGGCGATGGAAAACTCAGCGGGGCGACCTGGGTACCGCCGCAGCGACCACCTAAGGGGCAGGGAGGAGCAGAAATTAAGGGTACCCGAGAGGTGAGGGCGTGGATGCAGGGAGCGACCCTCCTGCCTTACCCTAGTGCCCCCCATTCCCACCTGCTCGGAACCACAGGGCCCCAGCACGCGCCACTGTCGCCCCACTCACCAGTGCCCGGAGCGGCGAGGGCGGCCTGCCTGCCTCGCCCTGCGCGCTGCCCCGGGATGCAGGAGCCGGACCCCGGCAAAACGCCCGGCCAGGGCCGCTGGGACCGGCCAGCGACGTGTAGCGCAGACGGCGATGAGAGCGACCGCGGAGGCACCGGCGCGCAGCCGGGACTCGCCGTGCAGCCTGCGGGATCGGTGCTGGCCCTGCGCTCACGTGGACGCGGGGGCACCGGGGGGCCGGGGGGGGCGGGATCCCCTCCGGGATGGCCCCCCGCCTCCCACCCAGCACCCAGCTCAAGCTCCAAAAGCCGTGCGGGAGCTGGGGGACCGCGTGCTAGGAAAGGGAAGGAGGAGGGGACGTGGGGTGGCGGGGGTGGTGCCCTCTCCTAGCTCAGCCTCCGCCCCTGCTCAGAGCCGCGCCCCCCGCGCCGCCCGCGCCGCCTTCCCGGGCCTGGACCTCCCCCGGGTCTACGCTGCGCGCAAGGGTCCTGCCCCGCATCCTCCGCCGAGGCCTGTGGCCCAGGACGGGAGCTTCTCCCTTTGGGCGCACTATCCGGCCTGGGCCGCTGTGCGCCTTTGGGTCAGCTCCTCTCCCTCGCTGAGCCTGCCCTTCTTGTCTAAACAAGGGAGATGACTTGGCCGACCCCAGAGAAAATTAAAACTGAGAAAATTAAAGAAGCGCACGGGCGTGGAAAAGCTCCGTGCATCACGAAGAGCCGAGCAAAAGGCAGGCGAATCATTGCTGATTGGGTTGTAATTATAATAGGCTGCTTTTCCATATTCAGGGTTGCGAAGTCCATCTCCTTTTCCTCTCAGACAGCACTAACTTGGTGGCTTCCAACATCTTTCGCCTCTCCCGTGAGCTAAAACCGTTTAGATAGCTGGTGTGAGAACCCAGCATGTGCATACAAATTCATGTTCATTACTATTACAACTTAAAACGCTTTCGTTATGATTACAACGTGATAACGTCATGATTATATTGTAACATACATTCACTATTATCTGGAATACACGGTCGGTATTGTTGTCATTGTTGTTAGCAATAGACAAAGGCAACCTCCTGGGTTAGGGAGGCTCTTTACTCATATTTCACCTATGCACCCCTATGAAGTAGCTATCAAGGCTCCTATTTGCTGAAGAAGAAGGGAAAGGAACTCAGAGAGGTTTGGTAAGCTGCCCAAAGTCACACAGCCAAGGAGCAGTTGCCCCAGTTCTAACTCTGTACACACAGCCCTGGCTCTGATCCTTGAACACCCTTCCTAAATGGTTGGTTCTTAAACTTAGCTGTTCCTGACAGCCACCAGGAGAACTTTTCCAAATGTTGATGCCCAAGCTGAACCCTAGGTCAGTTAAATCAGTTTTCCTAGAAATGGAGTCCAGGTATTGATGTATTTTAATACTCCCCAAGTGATCTGAAAGTATAGCTCGGATGAACTCTGCTCTAGATGTCAGATTCCCCTGGGCCACACCTGCAACCCACTGCCTTCACCTTGGGGGCTCGCTGTGCTCCGAAGTCCTGCTTCCTTCTCCTCGCCTGGGACTGCTCCTGAGCGCTTGGTTCTTACAGTTATTTACTCCACAAATATTTATTTTGCATCCAGGGTTCGGGGATGTGCTAGAGGCCGGAGACACAGTAGGAAATACTTGCTTTGTTACATAAAGTAGTAAGCAGTTCTCCAACTCGGGTCTTCCAATCTCTTCAGGTTCTTAAAGATCAGACAGGATCCAAAACACTGTATCTCAAGTTTAACATCAGACAAAAAAAAAAAAAAAAAGGCATTCTACAATTTACCTGACTGGTCATCCCCCAAAACTGTCAAGTTCAGAAGCTGTCATAACCAACAGGAAACTAAAAAGATGTTACAATTTAATGTAAGCTCGGGAGGGGCTGGGGATTTAGCTCAGCGGCAAAGCGCTTGCCTGGCAAGCACAAGGTCGTGAGTTGGATTCCTGGTACCAGAAGAAAAGACAAAAACTGCTGCCTGGCAAGGCTGCACTTTACATGTAGTTACCTGTTCCATCTCATCTAAAAGAAAAAAAAAAAAAAAAAAAAAAAAAATACTCGTG